GATAAAGCCTACTGCATAATCGCGAAATTCCAGCGGGAATTACACTCAGTGTGGTTACTCTCTGCATACTGGATCGTCTGAGATATTACATTGTTAAAATATTGCTTTGAATAACCGTTATCCGATTCAGGTTGTTAAAGTCCTGAATGATTCTCTGATGGCGCACGATCATTAACCGGTTGTTATATTCCAGGAGAAAATGTCCGTTTAAAGGCAATTCCAGGAATGACTACTTGAGTAGCTTTAAATTTAATTGTGTTTAACATTCGTCGCTATCTTCTGGACTAGAAACTAGTTAGAACTTCTGACTCACTGCATGAAATGATGATATTTTGTCATTTACGCCAAGCATATGACTCGTCATTATCTGAAGGCGTATGATTGTTAACCGCTGAAAGGATTCTAGGATAATTTGCCCTGAATGTGTGTGTGCCGAATGTGTGCTCGCTCACAGACAGCAGTTAGATCGGCCAATCAGAAACCGCGCCTGTGCCCTGAAGTGTAGGTGATTTGCTGACGGCGGTCTTGGCAATCCATTGGTTCATTTATCACATCAGCCAATCCGGTATGTCAGTTCGCGAGACATCGTATTAAATAATTGGTGACATTATTCAGTCAGCATGATTCCATTAATTTAGTCATTTGAATCGAGATGCAACTAAAATTCTACCTACTTCTGCTGGCGGCCACCGTTTTGGGAACTTCGATGAATGTTACCAGGGCGAACGCCATGGGCGTTGAGGAAGATACCGAAGGAGAGACTGTTGTCTGGGCCGGCGGCGGATCAGCTCCCAATAGCGATTGGGATCCCAGTAGTGGTCGTGGCGTAGGCTGTTATGGCCACGGTGGAGGTTGTCATGGCCACGACCGAGGCTGTTATGGCCACGGCGGAGGATGCCATGGCTGCATTTAGACTAAGTAAACCCTTCGCATTCCATCAGACTAACTACTTTCAATAAACGTCTCCGACATTTACTCAACTCTTTTATGTGCCGAGCGTGGTGTCAGCGAGATCCTCGTGTTATCTTCGTCTGTCGGGCTGTATTCAAGCTCTACAGACGTTAAACTGTTATGAACTGTTATGTCCGTAGGCAAATTATCATGCACGTTCTTGCACTACAGGTATGGCAGGATCTGCCAGCGCCGTCACTATTAGTTGGATTTTCTCTTTAGGATCGTGCTCCGTCATCCGCTTCCTCTGAGTGTGTAGTTTTAGACACCCAAGACCTAGCTGCCCGTCTAGATCGACCAATGAGGCCACATACTGTCCCTGGACGGTCCCGGAATATCACATGTATGCTGTTTTATGTCATCGTTTGTTTTTGAATCAACTACTCATGGGTGGAGATCGTAGGTATTTTTAGACATTTTAATCGCAATGATATTATGAGGTCGA